AGCATGCAAGGCAAGCACTCTACACTGAGCCACCTTCCCAACCCTAGACCATACTTTTGAGAACCACTGTTATAGCAAAAAGGTGCAGGACAAACAAACAAAAAGCTACTATGCAAAAACACAGCATAATTGTCCCATTTCCACATCTACAAAATTAAAGAAGATATGCTGCCAAGTGCCAGTGGCTCATGTCTATAATCTTAGCCTGAGAAGCAGAGATCTGATGACTGAGGTTTGAAATCAGCCTGGCAGACAAATCCTTCAGTCTCCAATTAACCAGCCAAAACCCGGAACTAGAGATATGGCTCAAGTGGTAGAGTACCAGCTATGAGCAAAAAAGCTGAGCAAGAGCACCAGGCAAGGAGTTCAAGCCCTAGTAGCAGTATGCACACAAACAAAAACTATATGGAAAATTTTGTTATTAAATGAAAATAAATTAACATCTGAGGAAAAAAATTTTTCATTTGACCCAAATTAGAAGATACTTGACCTTTTATCAACATCACCTCATTCCTCATTCAGCATTATATTCTAACAAGGTAGCTCACATGAGATTACAGACCGCTTTTTCACAAGTGGCAAAAGCAAGCTAGTGTTTAATGACTTTTTTCTATTTCATGTGAACATGATAAAAGCCTTAGCTTGTGGTTTAAATGATTTTTTACAATGAACAACTACAGAAATATTACTAAAATGCTCAAAACTTATGGATTTTTTCTTTATTTTTTTTCTTAGTATTTTAGAGATAATAACTAACCTGAGTGATAGAGCCCCGTAGGGACTGGATATTCTCCACTGAAAGTTTGCTGGTTGGAGTTCCCCGAGTTATACTTCCTTCTTGGATGGCTCCTGTGGTACCTGAGTAAAAATAAAATCATTAACCATCACCTATCTTTACCCCCTTCCAAAAAGAATACAGCCTCTACCTAGTGAGAGAATAAGAAGGAGAGGGGAAAAAGAAGCAAAGAAAAAAAATTGTTTTATTAAGTTTATGTCTAAAGTCATGTAATGAGGTTAAAAGTCCAGTTGATACATGGATCTGTACAAGTTGATGGACTTTGTCACTATTAGACAAGTACTCTACCAGTGAGCTCTACAACTGGCCAAACTTCAAAGGTTTAAAATCATTTTTACTTTTAAATTTCAAAGTTAGGGGCTATATTTTTATATTTTGAAAACTATATATATATATATATATATATATATATATATATATATATGTATATGTTCACTGGGGGATAAAGCTTAACATAATGTGTATGCTTTTACCTCTGACCACACCTTCATGTTGGGCCCTGACCAATAAACCCTCAGGTTGCGAGTTCTGGCTTCGGGGAGAAAATTCTTCCTGTTTAATATAGGGCAAAGCAGCTGTAGACAAAAGCAAAGGAAATATGAAAGATCAAGTACTGAATTACTATTGCAATACCACAAATGCAGATACATTTGACTGAGCTAACTTACTAACCTGATTTGGCAGATTCCTGCTGTCGTGGCAGTCCAAGAGAGATAGAGCCCACTGAGGGCTTAGCTGTCTCTTGATAGGAAGTCTGATTATGAGAAGTCAGATAAGTGCCTGGTGTTCCCTAAAAACCAATTTTTAAATATTAAGCTTGTATTTTTGGCAGATCAATTAAAAAAGACAAGTTCATATTTGTGTAAAAACACTGTACAAAATTAAGAGTGATTATTTGTAAAGCAGAAAAACCTATAGCATAGATTACTTGCATTACAGATCATAGGATGATCATTTATAACCTTGTAGGTTTCTCAGCAAAATATAACTAAACATAGGGGAAAATATAGACTACCTCAAATTTTAATACTTCCCATGTAAAAACAAACAAGTCACAAATAGAGAAATTGTAATATGAATATCCAGAAGAGAAGTTTCAACCAGTGACTATAGAAAATCAGACTTAATACATTTAAGTATTCCTATATGAAATGTTTGGAACCAGAATTATTTCTGTTTCTGGATATTTGTAAATTGTTGAATATTTACATATTATCTAGTAAGGTATACTGGAAGTGGGACCCAACTGGAAATATGAAAATAATTTGTTTCAAATATATCTTATATACACAGACTGAAAATAATTTATACAATATTTTCAGTGCATTTGCATTTTGACTGCAATCTGTCATATAAGGTCAGGTATAGTATTTTCCACTTGTAAAGATATATTGGTGCTAAAAAGGTTTTGTATTTTGAAGGATTTCCGATTTTCAGATTACAGATGCCCAAATACTGGTCAGAATGTCATAGAAGAAATAATCAGCAGGGTCATGAAAAAGTGCTTACCATAATTTGCTGCGAGGATAACAAAAAATGTAAGCACAATAAAATATTACTGTAAATCTAATTCTAAAAAAGACAATAACAAATGGAGCACTGGATGAAACTAGAAGTCTTGGTCTCATATGCTGCTACTGAGAGTATGAAACTGTAGGACAACTCTGGAAAACTACACAGTAAAACATACATACACATAGGAAGTCCACATCCAGATAATTATAAAAGAGAAATGAAACATGTCCTCAAAGAACCTCATTCAAGAATGTTCACAGCATTGGAGGGGAGAAGGGCGGGGAGAGAATGTAGTTGTGGAGATTGGGGGTGGGGGGGAGGAGGAGGGGATGGTAGGGGAAAAACAAAGGAGGAGGCAACAATGCTCCATAAGAAATGTACTCATTACCTTGCTCATGTGGTTATAACCCCTCTGTACAGTATTTTCACAATAAAATACTTTTTTGGGGGGCGGGGGGGTCCAGTCGTGGGG